AGTAAATGGTCTTCAAGAGTTGCTGTGGGCAACATTGTGCTATGATTAACTATAATAGACTTAGCTTTTCTCAGCGATATAATGATCCAAGACAATTCCAAAAGACTCACGATGGAAAATGTTAACCACATTCAGAGAAAGAACTATGGAGTCTGAATACAGATCGAAGCATACAATCCCTCCCCCCCCTTTTTTTGTTTTTTCTTTTCTTGTGGTTTTTCCCTTTGGTTCTAATTCTTCTTTCACAATATGACTAATGTGGAAGTATGTTTGACATGATTGTACATGTATGGCCTATATCAGATTGCTTGCTGTCTTGGGAAGGGGGATGGGAGGAAGGGAGGGAGAAAAATCTGGAACTCAAAAATTTTACAAAAAGGAATGTTGAAAACTATCTTTACGTGTAATTGGAAAAAATATTGTCAATTAAAAAAAAAAGAGTTGCTGTGGTAGCAAAGGACTAGAAATGAACTAGATTGAGAATGGCTAATAGTACATGAATGCGATGGAATATTACTATGCTATAAGCCATGACAAATATGTTGGATACAGAGAAGCATCAAAAGACTTATATAAACTAATGCAAAGTGAAGTAAGTAGAACCAAGAGAATAATATACATAATGACAACAGCATGTAAATGGAAGAAAAAAAAACAACAGCTACAAAACAATCAAAAATGAATGCTTCAAAATTACAAAGAATAATCCTGGTCCCAAAGAAGAGATATAAGAAGACATCTCCCACTAATCCTTTGCAGAGGTGGGATTGTGGTCTACAGGTGTGCACATTGCATACGTTGCCATATTTTTTCAATGTGCTGACCAGTTTTGCTGATTTTTTTCTATTTCTTATCATCTTTGTTTAAAATTTCTGTTTTAAGTGATGGTTTTTGGAGATGAGGGGAAATAGGAAGAAATATTGGTAATACAAAAACAAAAAATATCAGTACATTTTAAAAAAAGAGTTGAAAGAGCTGAAAAATGTGTCCACCTGCAGCCAACCTGTCAATCTAGCTCTCCAAACTTAACTAGGTTTGTTTTATATATATATATATATTCCATCACTGAGCCTGGAATCAAAGTCTTTGCACCTTGGTAGAACCTGCTAGAGCTTAGATTCACTCCACTGGCATAGACTTTGAGAACCCAAGACTACTTCTAAACTAGGAAGAAGTATTGGAGGAGGACTTGGCTGAAAGAAGAGTTTATCATATAACCAATACAACCAGATTCTCTTGGCAATTTTAGCTCAAATCGGGGAAATTAATTGATATGCAGGTGTGAAAAAAGAGAAGGCAAAACTGGCAATTCTGTGTCCAATTTGACAATAGACAATAGGATTGACAGCTCTAAGATCTTAGAGATCATCTAAGCCAACTCCCATTTTCTAGATGAGGAAACTGAAAGCAAGAAAGCTAAGTGTTATAACAGGCAGTTTAGCCACAGAGCCAGGATTTGATTGCTTTAGAGATAAGAAATATGACTTGATCTTCAGGATGACAAGACATTTCCCACAGCCCACTCTTCTGTAGCACTGCCACATTCAAGTTCCTAGAAGCTGGCTGTGTTCACCATCTATTGGACTTGGTGTTGGCAACCAGATTCCATCCTGGATATCATCATTACCTGCCGCTCTCCACACAGACTTCTTGGGACTCTAGTTCCCAAGGAGACCATGCATCCTGTAATAATAATAGCTAATATTTATGTGCCAAGTATTGGGCTAAAAGCTTTACAATTTTGTTCTTATTTGATCCTCGAAACAATCCTGAGAGGTAGGTACCATTATTATTCTCATTTTACAAATGAGGAAACTGAGGCAACAGAATTTAAATGACGTATCCAGGTTGCACAGCTAATTTATGCCTGAGGTCAGATTTGAATTACATAGCTGCATGAAATTTTCTCAAACTGGTTCTCACTAAATTATGGGCACCAATCTACCCCTGGCAGAAATGAAACCTTTTAGTTCTTCTTCAGTTTACCACAAAGGTATGGAAAGCTAGGTGAATAGAGCATGGGCCCTGGAGTCAGGAGGACCTGAGTTCAAATCCAGCCTTAGATACTTACTAGTTGTGTGACCTGGGCAAGTCACTTAACCCTGTTTGCCTCAGTTTCTGCATCTGTAAAATGAGCTGGAGAAGGAAATGGCAAACCACTCCAGTATCATCCCCGCCCTCCAAAAAAACCAACAAAAAAAAAAAAAACAAATGGGGTCACAACTGAAACAACTCAACATCAACAATAGCAGCGTGGAAAGATGAATCAACTGGCAAAAAAAAAAATTTCTACATGGGTAACAGCATTCCTCCCACCCCCAGCCAAATGCTGGTAAGCAGATCTACTCTGTCTCAGCTGTTCACTTACATGGTCATTTAAAAATTAAATACCTGGATTCTGGGAAAGGGATAGTTTTCCTGAATATTTTTCATAGCATAAAGTTTCTAAATATTCTATTAAATTAACATAATGCAACTGAAGCTGCTTGCTGGTTCCTATGAAGCTGCCCCAAGAGAATTTCATGTGATATGCATCTTGTTTTTTTATTAAATACCCAGGGGGATTGCAGTCAAATAATCTCAGTCTAGCAGACAGAGTCCCACAAATTGTGAGCCGCTGGTTTCAGAGATGGAAATCAACACACACAGTTCAGTTTTAATTCATTCTCTATCACTAATTCCCAGTCCTTTAGAACTTGGATCCCTAATAATCGCTTATTCAATTTCACAATACATCCTTCCTGCTCTACTTCTCAAAGTGTTGTATGACATATGTTGATGTCATCACAGAATTTAAATTACTTGGTTTCAGAGAATTTCGTGACACCCCTTGAAATAGCTTTACAAAATCCCAGAGCTGGAGGTCATGGAAGTCTAACCCAAATCTGAACAGGAAATGATTAAAGACAGCCTACAGTGTTTCTAAACTAGGGCTGAGAATTGCTGTATTAAATCAACAAAGCTTCTCAATGTTCTTAATTTAAATGTGTCTAAAGCATCTATTTGCTCTCTCTGTCTCTTTCTCACTGTCTCTTTCTGTCTCTCTCATTCTCTGTCTCTCTGTCTCTCCCCCCTCTCTCTTCCCTCTGTCTGTCTGTTTCTTTCTCTCTTCCTCTCTTTTTCTCTTTCTCTGTCTCTGTGTGACCTCTCTGTCTTCCTCTCTTCTTCTTCTTCTTCTTCTTCTTCTTCTTCTTCTTCTTCTTCTTCTTCTTCTTCTTCTTCTTCTTTTTCTTCTTCTTCTTCTTCTTCTCCTTCTCCTTCTCCTCCTCCTCCTTCTTCTTCTTCTTCTTCTTCTTCTTCTTCTTCTTCTTCTTCTTCTTCTTCTTCTTCTTCTTCTTCTTCTTCATCTCTCTCTCTCTCTCTCTCTCTCTCTCTCTCTCTCTCTCTCTCTCTCTCTCTCCTATCTCCTCTGTCTTTATCACTGTCTCTCTTGTCTCTGTCTCTCTTTGTGTGTTTCACTGTCTCTGTATGTGTCTGTCTGTCTCTCCCTCTATTCTGTATACTCAAATACGCTGTTACTTCTCCTTAGATGTTAAATAAATTTTAGGTAGGATGGACTAGTAATTTCAGCGGTGTAGGGAATTCCTAAGGAGGAAACTCCCTCTGCCAGTGAAGCTCAGCACCATCTCTGCAGCTTAAAATCTTAGAGAGTTATCTGGGGCATTGAGAACTTTAGTGACTTGCCCAGGGTCACAGCCCTTCTATGTCAGGAAAGACTCGAACTCAGATCTTCCTGATTCAGAGACTGGCAGCTGTCTGTCTCTGATGCCATGCTGTCTCTCATGTTTTAAGCCAATGTTAAACCAATGCACTAATAATCAAAATAATGATTGTTGCCATTTTAAAATGATTTAAGGTTTACAAAGCATTTAGTATATACTAACTTATTTGATTCTCATAACAAATTTGCTATAAACTGTTATTATTCAGATGACATATCTGTGTCTCTATTTATTATATATACACATATATGTGTGCATATGTGTATACATACACACACATATATGTGTATATATATATATATATATTTGTAATAGTTCTCAGAACACAATATGGAAGGGGGAAATGCATGCAGTAGTACAGAAGATGAAGCCACTGCTCACAGGGAGTTGAGAAGCCAGAAGCTTTACTTCTTTCAGCCACGGTCCCTGGTGGTCCAGCTTGGATGCTGCTGCTGTTGCTGTATCAATAGCAGGAGAGGCAAGCAGGAAAAACTATAACAATTGAAAAAAAACTGTAAAGATGAGCCCAAAGCTTTTTTTAAGGCTTGACTAAGCTTTGCCATAAAAAGCTAAGAATGCAACTGAGCAAAAAGAAAAGCTAATGACCCTGTGCCTTTTACTGCTCACTCACCTACCTGGGAGAATGAAGAGGTTTGGGATTGGAAAACTGGGGGACCTGGAACTTGAGAACTGTTTGGTAGTTATGAGGTGAATAGCCCTTATATAAACAACTAACTAGGGGCACTCTAACTTAAAATTAGAAGACATGGGAAATGGTTCCCATAAGCTGGGTGAGGTGCCCAGAGAGACCTAAGCCCCTAGACCAGGAAGTTGCATTCAAAGACGATATTAAACCTTAGGGTATTAGGTAGCTATAGCAAATGCCCTCCGGTCAGAGACCAATGACTTCTACCCAAAACTCAGAGGAAAGGATCAGACTGGTGACCGTAAAGGAGGCTGCATCTTACTAGTCATGTGCCTTTGGACAAATCAGCTTGGATAGATGACTTCTAAGATCTCTTTCATTTTAAAATCTATAATCCTATGTGCAAAAACAAAATGTTTTTTCTCAAATAAATTAATCTTTTTATTTAAAAATGAATGGGCTTTCATCCTTGAAAAGACTGGAAATCACTGCCCATGCCATATCGAACTAGAGGGAAAAGCTTTCAGTGGAACAAGTTTTATCCCTGGGTGTGGACAAGATAACTTAAAAGTAACAAAAAAAAAACAACACATCAGACCTGTCTGTGTGCCAATGAATATGTGTTTCTACAGGTTTTGCTGTACATCCAGAATATTCTGGAGACGAGTCACTTGTCCCAGAAGAAACAATCCCTCCATACCTGGTGGAAGTGCACACAGAACTGTCCTCTACCACAGAACAAGGAGAAAACAATGCTGAGACAGTGCAGGATCTCCAAATTTCAACTATGACTCCCTCAGCTGAGTCAGAGGGGGAGGGTCTGGTGAGCCTAGAGTTTCTGCTAATGGTGGGGATTCCGCTGCTGTTACTGCTCCTGCTGTCTTTGCTAGTGGTGTTCCTTGTAAGATACAAGAAAAGAAGAAAATCCAAGCCAGGTAAATATTTAGTGTGTGTTTCCACAGTGGACAATTACTTTGAATGTTAAGAATATGGTAATAATGAGGTTGATTTGTTTTGTTCTTACATGCAGTGCCTTCAAGTCAAGGATCTCAAAGTGCTTTACAGTCATGTGAGTAGTGTTACAATTGCCATTTGCATTTAGGGAGATGGGAGAAAAAGTATTTATAGAAGTTTAAATTCAAACATGGGAGTGTATCCAGTTCAAATCAACATTTACTAAAAAACTTAGGAAGTGCAATGCATCATTCTGGGCAAGGGAGACAAAAAGATGGACACAAAACAGTCCCTACAGTCGAGGTCTTTATGCGAAGAGAGGGAAGTTGGAAATACAGCTTAGATATAGGAAATAAAAGGCAGTTTTGGGAAGCAGAGAACACTAACATGGGGTAGGAGTCAGACAATTGTTGTTCAGTTGTTTCAGTCACATCTGCCTCTTTGTGACCCTATTTGGTGTTTTCTTGGCAAAGGGGCTAGAGTGGTTTGCCATTTCCTTCTTCAGCTCATTTGACAGATGAGAAAACTGAGGCAAACAGGGTTAAGTGACTTGACCAGGGTCACACAGTTAGTAAGTGTCTGAGGCTGGATTTGAACTCAGGAAGATGAGTCTTCCTGACTCCAGGCCTGGCACTCTATCCACTGTGCCACCTAGCTGCCCTAGGGGATTTAGAAATACTAGTCCTAAATGTGGCACCTGAGGACTCCCTAATGTTGCCCCCATGGGCTACTCCCAGGTTCACAGCACTCAAGGGCATAATTATCCATCTCTGTTCATAACTGATGAGCCCCAATTCTATTGAATCTCCCTGATCAAGCCAGAATTACACATGATGGTAAACAAAGCACATTTACTTGAGCAGGATCCAAGGCAGATAATAAGTAATGTTTGAGATCTGGAGTCAGAAGATCTGGGTTCAATGAGGGGGCTAGACTAGGTGGCCTGGAAAGTTCCTTCCAGCTAGAGATCTAGGATTCTTTGAATCGGTAGCAAGCCCTCTCAGGGCTGATTTCCCAAGGGTTTGGAGGCTGTAAATGCAGCTCACCTCCAGACGCTTTCTCTGTATCTTCAGCGCAAAGGGAGTGAAATGGGCAATTTCACTCAGGCATGGGTTTGTTACAGAGATGAATGTTCGTAAAGAGCTCCACTGAATAACCTCTCTCCTGTCTCTGCTCCCATCGCTGGCTTCTCAGCATGCACTGCAGACAACAGAAAATGGAAAGTTTCTTAGAGACAGGCCAAATAGACAAACCCTGAGACCTTGATGGCCTGAAGGCAGTACCTCTGAGCACAGCGACTTCGGAGCATTGCAGAGAGCCTTGTTGCTTCTTGCAGAAACTGCAAGGGTGAAAGCGGGGAAGAGCCTTCTAAATACAAATCCAATTTTCTTCTTTCTTCCTCCATCTTAGACAGAAGCAGGATTCTGGAAAGCCTTGAATGCCAAAATCAGAATCAGAGAGGGGAGAGATTAGAATGGAGACATAATTAAGAGTCTTTTCATCTAAGGCAAAACCAGTTTGGAGTAGGGTTGGAGCAAAAGCATAAAGGATATTCTGTTTTAAGGTGCGGTTAACCCAAGATAGAGAGTAACCTGGTTTTCATCCTCAGGGCAGGTAGGAGGAAAAGGTGTGGCAACCTAAGGGGTGGTTACCTAGCCAAGTACAGGCTAGCCAAGTACAATGAGGTGAGTTGTGGGAATTGCTCTCAATGCAGGGCGGAAGTATGCCCTCCTGGTGGTTAGGAAACTGGTTAAAAGGACCCTTCTCCCTATGCTAGTTACAGTTCTAGATCAGAAATGAGAAGACCAATGGAGAAACTATTGTGATAGTCTAGACAAGAAGAAATAATGCCCCGGGGCAGCTAGAGGGCACAGTGGATAGAGCACTGGTCTTGGAGGCAGGAAGATTCCTCTTCCTGAGTTCAAATCCAGCCTCAGACACTTACTAGCTGTGTGATCCTGGGCAAGTCACTAAGCTCTGTTTGCCTCAGTTTCCTCATCTGTAAAATGACCTGGAGAAGAAAATAGCAAAGCACTCCAATATCTTTGCCAAGAAAACCCCAAATGGGGTCACAAAGAGTCAGACACAACTGAACAACACAACAACAATATTCTGAGATTTGAGTACCCTCAGTACACCCCATGATTTGGGGCGAACACATACCTGTGTTCATCTGACACAAAACTTTTCACGATTTTACAAACTTCAGTCACATCTCCTTTCTAGACCAAAAGGCCATAATTTTTTTTAAAAACATGTAATCATATGAAGGCTCTTCCAATTTCCTTGATCATTTTAGTTGACTTACTTTGAAACTTCGATAATTTAAAGCACTTTCCCCCTTACATTTAGAGGCAGGAGGTATTTAAATTCTGCAAACAGTAAGCCCTCAAGCAAGCCACTATGCAAAGTGAAGAATCTTAAAGATCATCTAGTCCAAATCCCACTCTCCCCTCATACTCCCATTTTAGAGAAGAGAAAACTGAGGCCTAAAGAAAAGAAGCAATTAGCTCTAGGTTACACTAGTTAAGGGCAAGGATACAATGAGAATTCTGGTCTTCTGACTTCTGAACTACTGGTCTTTCTATAAAATCAACCCCCTTTTAACCTCTTACTCTCAGACTAACATTCAATAATACAGGTACAGGAGTACTGTGGTTTTATACAAGAGTAAGGCATTATTTTCATTCATTTATGTTAATTCATTCAACAAATAACTAAAAAATAACTCTAAGATTGACACAGTACTTTGCTCACAACACTGCTATGTAGTATGTAGTGTAAGCAGTATTATGGTGCATTTTGTAGATGAAGAAACTGAGGTTCAGAGAGATTAGGTGACTTCCCAAAGTTCACATGGCTAGAAATATTTATTGAGTCTACTTTGTGCATAGCACTGATCCTGAGGCAGTGGGTATATAGATGTAGAAGACACAGTTTTATTTCCACTGCCTTCTTGATGAGACCAGCCAAGCTGTTGGCTAAGTGACTGGCTGGCCAATCTGATAAAGTAATTCTATCTGAGTACTAATGATCAGTTGAGCCTTAATGGCTAGGTGACTTTTGCATGTTGAGAGGGACTTTCTAGTTCCTGACCCAAAGTAACACAAGAATTTAAAGCACCATAGCAGACCTGGGGGGAGGGAGGGATGATTTAGGGCAGGCAGGGTCTTTTGGCACTTCTCATATCACCACATGGACAGCTGCCTGTTCTGCCCAAACATGGTGCCAGCCTAATCTGCAACATTAGCTGGCTCTTTTTGTGTTGCTCAGCTCCAGGTGGTGAAGCTCACTGCTTCACCGAGGCTGACCCTAGTTCTCTCTCCACCTGCCCTGCCATTCTATTTGTTTGGGTCATGTTTATGATCTGATGGAAAAGGGAAGTTTCATAGCTTATAAACTCCGTGGGAAATGAAGATTCTGAATTTAGAGATAAGACAACATAATATGTCTCAGTCACTTTCAGTCTTGATGACTCTTTGTGATCTCATTTTGGTGTTTACTTGGCAAAGATAGTGGAGTGGTTTGCCATTTTCTTCTCTAGCTCATTTTATAGATGAGAAAACTGAGGTAAGCAGGGTTAAGTGACTTGCCCAGGGTTACACAGCTAGTAAGTGTCTGAGGCTGGATTTGAATTCAGGAAAGAAAAGAAAGAAATTATGTAGCACTATGATGCTCTGAGATCATTCTAGACAGTCAGCATTTGAGCATTTAAATCTGTGGTTGTTATTATTTACTTATTAAATGCTTCAGTATGTTCAGTTCAGTGAAATAGATAGAAGGAAAGCTCCCTTTGAATGGGGCTGCCCCAGCATGGTGCCAGCCTCCATGCAGGGAATCTGAACAAAGAAGCCAGCTCATTCTCATGGTGTTCAGCGTAAGAACAGGACTCAATTTATTCCATCTCTAGCCTTCATATCTTTGCACAGGCTGTGCCCCATCCCTAGAACACTCTCCTTGCTCATGTCTACCTCTTTGAACCCAGTAAAATGTAAGTTACTTGAAGGCAGTCTACTTTGTTTTTGTCTTTATTGCCAGCACCTAATATGGCCCATGATAGGCTTTAAGAAATGCTTGTAGAATTGAATGCAGCACAGTGTAGGAAAAAGAAAAAAGGTTGCTAGGTTTGGAGTTAAGAGACTTTACTTCGAATTCTAGCCCTGTTCAAATCCCAACCTTTTCATTTTCTGAGGGTGGGACCTCAAGCATGTCACTAAATCTTCCCGGACCTCAGTTTTCTCATCTGAGTGTTAGCCTACATGACCTGGAAATCTATGCCCCATTGACACCTGGCTCCTACTTTGACTTCTGAGCACACTCAAAAATCCCAACTGAATGTAAAAAGAAAATGAATGGGGAGACAAGAGTCCTAGGAAAAGACACCCTGCACTAAGTACTATCAGTGAGATGAAGTGGAAGGAACCCAATTTGGAATCAGGATTCCCATGCCAGTGCATTGGATTTGAATCCGGTTCCTGGCAACAAGAGAAAGCAATAAACATTTATCAAATGCTTGCTATGTGCCAGGCTCTGTGTTAGGCATGGGGGATATAAATACAAGCAAAAAGAAAGATCATCAAGGAATTTATATTCAAATGAGGGAAGACAATACATTAAAGGGAGGTGACAAGCTGGAGAGGAGGAGAAGAGACTCCTGGAAAGGCATGGTGTTGAAGCAGAGAAAGTCAGAAATTGAGCAAGGAGGGGAATGAAGCTTGGCCAGCCTAGGCCCCTCCAAAGGGGAGGCCGTGGGAGGACTCACCGATGAGAGAAGGTAGCTAATATGCAAAAGTTATTCCGGGGTGAGGTTCTGAGGTAAGATCCAGGGTAAGACTGCAGCTGAGGCATGGTGTCCAAGTCTGGAAAGTCAGAAGCAGAGCCAGGAAGAGAATGAAGGTTGACTGACCTGGGCTCTTCCTCAAAATGGAGGCTCTGGGAAGAACCCATCAATAGGAGGAGGAGGCTGGCATGGAAGATGTCAGGGTGAGAAGGCCACAAGTGAAGATGGATGCTCCAGATTGAGGAGGCCCCAGGCTCTAAGGGAAGTTCCAGGGTGAAATGGCAGGTGAGGCATGGTGTCCAAGTCTGGAAAGTCAGAAGAAGATTCAAGAGAAGCTGTCAGTTGCCAGTTGATTGCTCTTGGGCAAATCCTTTCCCACCTCTGCGCCTTGGTTTCCTCAGCTGTAAAATAAGTGGGTTGGAGTAGAGCAAAGGTTCTTAACCCTTTTTTTTCCACCTTGGACCTCTTTGGCATTCTGGTCAAGTGCCTATGGACCCCTTCTCAGGATAATTTCAAATTAATAAGAGACATAGGATTACAAAGAAAGCCAATCATATTGAAATAAAGTTATCAAAATATTGTTAAAGCAAGTTAAAACCCCCTGGATTCCATGATCACTTAAGATTCTTCCAGCTCTAAATCCCAAATAGAGTCAAACAATGACAACCAGAGGCTGGAAATGAGAGGTCAGAACGGGTGAGGCTGCAGAGACAAAAATGAGCCATCAGAATCAGCAAGGTTGAGAGGAATCTGAGTTGCCTAAAGGACAGAGATAAGGGAGTAGGAGGAGATGTATAAAGAAAGGCAGGCCAGGTAGAATGGTCTAGAAACCTAGAAAATGGAGGACAAGTAATTGGTCATCTTTGCTTAATTCTTCTCTCTCCCCACTCATGTCCTCCATCTTTCCCTATTACCATGGCGTCCAGGACAAGGTTACAGAGCAAGGATGGGCTGTCCATATCAGGCTTTCTGTACTGATTTAATGCCAATTGCAGTCACTTCATGTGGGTTTCCTCCACAGCACATCATTAATGGGTTTTTAAAACTTACTTATCATCTGTATGCAGAGCCAGCTCCTAGGTGCCACAAAGCCCATGGGAGAAAGGGGCATCGAAAGATAAACTGATATCCTCATCATGAAGTCATAGGTGATGATGCTTCATGCTCTCTGGGGAGGTGCCTGAGGGTTAACATGCAGGTATGGATCCTCATGGCTAGGAGGGAGCCTAACTGCCCCAAAGACAGTTCCCTCCAAAGACAAGCTTCCTCTGGAAGGAGATATTCAAAAGGAAGGAGGAGGAACAGGGCTATCTTTAAAGCAATATAGTAATATTCTGAATGAAAGGGCAGGTAGGTGGTGCAATGGATAGAGAACTGAGTCTAGAGTTGGTAAGACCTGAGTTCAAATCTGACTGCACCATTTATTAGCTGTATGATCCTGGGCAAGTCCCTTGCCTGTCTGCCTCAGTTTCCTTGACTGTAAAATGGGGAAAATAATAGCACTTGCCTCCCAGGGTTGTTGTGAGGATAAAATGTGATAATAACTGTGGCGTTGAGACCATATGTGACCCTGTAGGTCCTTAAATGTGGCCCTTTGACTGAGTCCAAGTCTGTGAAGTTTGGATTCAGTCAAAGGTCCTCACTTGAGGACATAGAGGGCCCCATGTGGCCTTGGGGTCACAGTTTCTCCACCCCTGTTATAGAGAAAAGCAACTTTGAAAGACTTGAGAACTCTAATCAGTGACAATAACCACAAATCCAGAAGACTGAAGATGAAGCATGCCACTTAGCTCTTCCCTGAAAGGGGATGAACCATGAATGAAGAGAGATACATTTGGAGCATGGCTAAAGTGGGAATTTGTGCTGCTGGACTATGAATGTTTATGATGAGGGTATTCTTTTGAGGGTATTTTTGTTGTTATTGTTTAGTTGGGGGGGATAATAGAAAGAACAGATTATAAATGCATATAAAATAAGTAAATTTTAAAAAGAAAAACACCACAAAATGATTTATTATTATTATTATAGTTTGCACAGTTATCATTTAAGAGTCACCCCCAGAAAAAATATACCTTCCATATCAACATAGGTTCCCTAAGAATCTGGCACCTGCAGGAATCTGGGACAACCTTACTCTGCCAAAGAAGGAAATTCCCTTTAGCTCTGTGAAGGCAATCAGACGCTGATGCCAAAGAACAGAAAACTGGGTACCAGATTTCCTTGGATTAGAGATGCCGTTAGAACCTGCCAGTTCACAGGAAATTATAACAACAGCTCATGACTGCCAGGAACACAGTTCCAGGTGCCTGCTGGCTGTTCTTCCTCACTTGGGACCTGCATTTGTCTGCAGGCACTGAACAAATAGCAGCCTACAATTGCTAGGGATCACCAATGTTTGGTTCTATACAGTGAATCCCACTGCTTGGTATTTTTGCAGCTGAATAGTTCTCAGATGATAAAAAGCCAATTGTGCACCTTGGCTGTCTGAAATCCCTCAATCAGCAAGCATTTTTAAGTGCCCACTATGTGCCAGGCACTATTAGGTGCTGAGAATACAACCACCAAGAACAGAATTCCCAACAGGTTTATATTGCAATGGTAGGCAGTGTCTCTCGTGGCCTGCTGGAGCCCAATTCCACAAAGCTCAGCATTCCAAGCTGCTGTGCTAGAGGCGCCCCAATTATGCTTCCAGGATCTGGAAAGTTGCACCTTCCTCCAAGGAACATCTACTGTATAAGCAAGCACTGTCCTAGGTGCTGGGAATACAAAGACAAGATTCTGAGCCTGATCTACTTTATTATCATTCTGCAAACCAGTGTGTTGCCTGAATCCCACTCTAGAATATAGGATGTAAAGTCCTTGACAGGAGTAATGGTCTTGTTTTATCTTTGTAGCTCCAGTGCTTAGCACAATGCTTGGCCCATTATAGGCAGTTAATAAATACCATAACATTAAGAAGCAGTGATGTGAAGCAATGGGAAGAGGGCTAGCTTTAGGGGTCAGGAAGACTCAGACACATACATACAGTGGGTTCGGCTTCTTGACTGAGTCCAAGTTTTACAGAACAAATCCTTTTATTAAAGGGATTTGTTCTGTGAAGTTTCCATTCAGTCAGAGGGCTGCACTTGCGGACCTAGAGGGCCACATGTGTCCCTGAGGCCGCAGGTTCCCCACCCTGGAATAGGGGCTTCGTAAGTCCTTGCTGAATTGAAATGAAATGCTTCTATTTGACCTACAGGTTAATTATTACTTGTTTTGTAAAAAAAAATTTAGTGATGCCTTTTGTTGTCACGTTACAATCATTTTCAAATATACCTTTTCCTCTTCTCCCCATGAGCCTTCCCTTGTAACAAAGAAAAAGAAAACCAGATAAGCAAAACCAGCCAATACATCTGCTAAGTATGAGTGTTACGTTTCTGTAAGGAGAGGAGAAAAGTACATTTCTTCTCCAGGGTTAAAATTGGTCATTATAGTTACAAGATGTTCAGTTTTATTTTGCTTATTCTTTTTTTTTCCAGAAAAATTTATTTAAGTTGATTTCCTTATTCTTTATGTAGAAGAGTCTGATTTTAGAAAGAGGAGGAGAGTTCTGAGAGGGGGAGAATGCAGTGATTGATGGTTATGAGAATATTTATTTCATCTTTATTTTATTTCAGACGAACTAGGCAGTGAAAACGTCAAAAGGTAAACCTTTTCAAGTTCTCAAATCAGCTCAATTGTTGATAAGCACAACTCTGGAGATCCTTAGGATTCTCTTGTTTTCAAATCTTTTCTCCTGATTCTCCTTGGAAGAGAGGAGAAGTTCCCTTCTCCTGGTGAGGGATTTCTGTGCACCTTTTAGCACTGTAACCCAAAAGATAGTCCCTAAGTGGTGAGCACGAAGAAAGGCATTCATTTCCTTCCCTCCAAACCAAATTCTCAGTAATCGAAGAATCTCATTGGTTTGATTATTCTTGTCAAATGAACAACCCCTTTATATTTGCTACTAATGATTCTAAAGGCAAGATATCTTGGGTAATAAAAACTCATACTCTGGGTGATATCTCCCAATTTTGATGTTTTCTTATCTATTTCTCACATTGTTAGGTAGTCTTATTCTTACTAAACTATTTTCCATTAGCAATTAATTTTCCTTCTGAAACAAAGGAATAGGGGCAACGAAAAAAGACAGTAGCAGAAATATAACCCTCACAAAATAATAGTTGGCATTTATACAGAGTTTTAAGGTTTGTGAATTGCTTTATGTATATTATTTGAGCCTCACAACAACTCTGTGAGCTAAGTGCTATCATTATTTCCATTTTACAGATGAAGAAATGGAGGCTAAGAAAAGTCAAACGACTTTTTCCAGGGTCACACATCCAGTCTAAGGAAAGATTAGAACTCATGTCTTCCTGACTCCAAATCCACCATGCTGTGCCCCCTCCAGAAAGCTTTTCTGGACAAAGCCCATCAGCCCACTTTCCCAAGCTCAACTAGTTATTATCTGATTGGACAATTTGCTTGTCCCTTGTCTAATAAAATGTCCGTACCATCAGCGATGGGAGTGGCAATACAACATAGTGGTTAGAAAAGTGTTCTTAGAATCAGAAAGACATGGGTTCAGATGCTGCCTCTGACTCATGCTAGTTATGTGATGGACAAATCACTTGTCCTCTGAATGACCCAGGAAACTCTAAGACTTTCAGTTATACTTGAACTGCTAAGTTGTATCTGTGGGGAACATTTCTACACTGATGAAATCAGAGGTCTGAACCCTGCAAAAAAGCAAATACTGGGGCTTTTCTTTTTCTGTCTATAATAACCAGACAGTTTCTCCCCAATTCTGTTCTACAGTCAATTATGAAATCTGAGAATTGGTTGCAATGGATTTCTGAAATGGAAAAGTTCCATTTTTTTTTTTTCAGAGGAGAGAAAAAGATAGAAGATAGTTTCTTGACCTCAGAGGATTTTTTTTTTCAGAAAGGCTTTGATGAAAAGGGAAGTAAGACTTGGCAGGGCTAAAAACATGAAGAATTACCTTCCTGAAGACAGCCTTCTGGTTGATATGTCAGTGCTGACTGCATTTTCCACGTTTGGTCTGGCTTTTGGGCCACCCTGTGGTTTTCTCCCTATAGCCCACATGTTGATATTACATTCACTCTTTTTTTTTTTTTGGTCCAGTGAGAGACTGATGTTTCCTTTATCCTTAGCTTTGAGTGAAGGTTAACATCACTGAATGAGGCAGAGTCCCTCAGCTAGCCCTGAATATCAGATGCTGAAGCATAAATAGCATTAAGTTTCTATGGTACTAAGACGTTGAGGACTCCTGGAGAAAAACTTGGCCTACCAGACTCTTAGTTTTTCTTCTAACCTACCTTTTATTTCCTCTCTCCAGCCCCATTTTTGAAGAAGATACACCTTCTGTCATGGAAATAGAAATGGAAGAGCTGGATAAATGGATGAACAGCATGAACAGAAATGGTACTGGCAACTCCTAGTTATATTTTGTAATAAGACTAAGAGCTTTTCCAGATTTCCAAAGATGAGTTCTCCTAATGATAACCAAGTTTTTCTTTTTTTCAGTAGCAGTTTTTCCAAACAGGAGAAGATGTTTCTATTTGGGAGCCAAAGTATGGTAGCAACTGGACAAAAAGAAATTTAAGATACTAATCATAATAGTCAATATGTTTACTGTTCTTCACTCTTTAGAACAACCAATTATGTGATAGTAGAGATCTCTAATCCCATTTTAAAACAGATTTCTAATGTCTTTAAAAGTCTTTCATGCTTCTATAAGAAAGGTAACACAGTACAGTAGGTGGAGAGTCACCCTGGGAACCAGGAAGTCCTGAGCTCAAGTCCAGATTTTCTGACACATGTGGGACCCATCAGTGTTCTACGCAACTCTTTTTTATTTTCTTTTTTTGGGTTAGGCAATGGGGTTAAGTGACTTGCCCAGGGTCACACAGCTAGTAGGCAATTTTAAGGCTGTAAATTACAGAGAAGATGCAAGCCTGCATTGGTAGAAGGACTCTCCTCATCAGGGAGTTGCTGATACCAAAAAATTAGTGAGCTGTCTTTATCTCTGTTCCTAAATGTTTGTATTGCATTTTGTCTTCTATGGCAGTTAGTCTACTACCGTTGTGACCACAGCAGAAAGCCATTTTTCATCCACTTTATATATTGAAATACCCAAATCATCAATCTTGGAACCAGGCTGGGGATCTGGTGTGGTCACTGATGTAGTTTGAGTAACCAAGGAAATATGGAATTCCAGTATATTTGGGTGGGAGGGGTGGAGGGAAGGGGAGATGATTTGTTTAAAAACACCAGTTTGGTGTTGTGAGAAACTTTTCATTGAAAGAACTCTAAAGGGTCTCCCCAAAGCTATGCCTTTGACTTCTAGAGCTCCCCAGAGACACAGAGTTCAAACAAGTCACCCAAAGAATGAGGCTATATTCTTCTATGCTTATTCTGATATCTGTGAAATGGAATGACGTTGACTAATGATGGCCAAAATGTCTCTTACCCTTTCCCAGCTGAATGTGAATGTCTACCTACAGTCAAAGAAGAAGAAAAGGAGTCAAACCACAACCCAAGGTAATTGCTTCACTTGGCTGTGTACATGGATAGGTGTGGAGGTGGAGATTGTGAAGAAAAAGCTGTACCATACATACAGGGCAATGTGGTTCAGTGGGAAGAGCACTGACCCTAGAGTTAGAGGTCTTGGGCTCTGATCTGGCATGTATAACTTGTGTGGCCCTGGACAAGTCATTCAACTTTTGTGGGCCTCAGTTCCTCATCTATAAAATGAGGGTTTTGGACTAATTGACTTCTGAGGTCTTTTCCGTCTCTGGATCTATAAGTCTATATCCTAGTAGCCACTTACAAAATTTTTAAACCAGTTCTTATACTTCCCAGACCTCGAAGGAGATACTTAACTGTTCAGCTCCAGTTTTATTTCAGTCGCCCTAATTATGTTAAACTGTAGTTTGTGTGTATCAGAGAAGCGGATGTTTTGTACAGAAAACAGATGGCAGAAACAGTCTCCAAAGAGGGTAAATATAAACAACAGTGAGAGAAAAAAATGAAGCCTTATATTTTATAATTAAAAAAAAAAAGCCAACACCTGGACAGATTATTTTAGGAGATGGGGGCATTAAAAAAAACATTTTTATTTCTGCCACTAGGTGGCTCTGCTTACTTGAGAATCTTATGGCCACCCAAGGTGGGGTATTGCTGAGCGTCACATTGATGTAGAAAGAAGGTACTTAGATCTGTGAATCTTTAAAGCTGGTTTGTAGACAAGGATTGTCTGGTCAGAGTACTGAGGAGATACTTTGCACAAAGGTGGAACACTTGGAAAAATTAGAGCAGGTGATCCAGAGGGCTGTGGAATTGAGACAGTACCAAAAGATGGTGCTGAGGTCACAGGTGTCTTTTGGATGAAACATTAAATCAGGGAACTTAAAGTGCTTTTCTTGACCATCACACTCGTCTTTTGTTAAAATAGAAAGATCCACACACATTCCAATCCTTCTGATTAGGGTGAATTTCACTTTCCCAACCACAACCCTTATTTAATTAGAGTTGCTTTGGTTCGTCTCTTCTTGCATTCAACTTGCCCGTGCCCATATGTAAAGAATCCAAACTTATCCAGTTGAGACCCTGGCAATAAGCTTAGTTTGGGATATGGAGAGTTAGCCTACCTTGGCCTTGGGGGAATCATAGTATCATAGCCTTAAATAGGGAAGATACCTTGCAAGTCATTTATGATCAAACACCCTTGTTTTATAAATTAGGAAACCAAGACCCAGAAAGTAATGACCAAGGTCATTCAGGTAGTAAATGACAGCTACGATAAATTCAAGATTTTCTGCCGCTAAAGCTAATGGTGATTCTACATCTTTCAGACTACATGCTAATGGACAGCTGCAGAGTCCCAACCCAGAAGCAGTATTTTGGTCATATGATTAATGATTAAGGGGGCTGGAAAGTCAACATTTAAACACTTAAATCCTTCTTTTTCCCTCCTCTCCCTTTCCTCCCCTCCAGGAAAGGCCTCCTAGTGTTCTCTCCAATCAGACCTGCTCGTGGAGGGGTGGGAGGGGGGAAATCTGATTTCATCATTTCTTTGTAGTGGTGTGAATCTAAGTCAATGAATCGCTCCCTCTGAGTATTTGCTTTTTAAAGGTTATCTCTTAATTGTGGAATGGAAGGTTTGCTAAAGGCAGTTCAAATGCTAGTGAGCTACAGACAAAGTATTTGTGGGAAAGAGATTGAGGATTTCCCTGCCCCAAGAATCATATCATGACATATAGTGACCCTAGACTGAATAAGGCAGGATCCTAAATAGATTATTTCATCCTTGAACAAATCAGTGATCCCTTGTGTTGAAAACAACAACCACCCCCCCCCCCGCCAAAATTCTACAATGAATGTAAAGAGGCTTTTCGTCAAATTAGATTTTTATCCTATTTAACTATAAAATAAAAGCCTAATATAAACAGTAAGACTAATAAGAAAATTGGGTCTTCTGAAATTTTAAGAAGGAAACATTCCTTACTTAAACTAGACATCTCTCAGCCTCCATCCCCTCATCTATAAAAAGCAGGGGTCAGATTTAGATGATTTCTAAGAACATGCCCAGCTTTTATTCCTATGACTATGATTCTGAGATCCCAGCTCCACAAGCATGTAATATGGAAAGGAAACACAATGCTACTGAGAAGTCTTACTTTTGCCTATGACAAAGAAGTGCCAGAACATCTTTCCAAATTTCCATCTCTTAGAGAAGTAATTTACTTGAATACAAAGCTCCAGTTTACCATCTATACAGTATGAAGGTCAGGGTGAGGGCTTCCTTGTACATGATCTAATCAAGAGGAAGTAGTCTCATCAATAGTCTGTGATGCTCCTCTAATCTACTGGGAAGTTCAATTCAGTTTAATTCAACAAACATTTATTAATTAACTGTTATGTGCAGGACACTGTGCTAGGATGCCATGTGATGTCGATACAAAGACAAACAAAACAAAATAACCCAGAAAGAAGAGAAACAATCCCTTCCTTCCAGGAGAATTCAGCACCTAGACAAGTAAATGCAAGGCATATGTAAACCCAATCCAAAAGGTATTTATTAAGCACCTATTATATACAAGGAACTTGGTATGGCAACTACAGTGCTGTCCTCTGAATCTGGAAGACCTGAGTTCAAGTCCACTTCTGACACATCTTGGCTGTGTGACCCTGGGCCAGTTACTTGACTTCTCAGTGCCCCCAGGCAACTCTCTGAGACTATAAATTATAAGAGAATTAAATATGATTTGGGAGAGGAAGTTTCTTCCCATGAACTCCTATACAATGAAATCACAAGAGTCTGCTCAAATAAACACGCACAGAGACACTGGGCTAAATGCTGGGCATACAAAGGCAAAAGGAAAATTAGCTCCTGCTCCCAAATTGCTTATATGCTATCTTGGCCTTGAGTTTGTTGATTAAAATTTTTTATAAGTTTTAGAAATGAGTAAAAAATCATGAGGTGTCATGCAGAGTCAGATACAACTGAAATGACTGAACAACAAGAATCTTTGTAGAACAATCATTCCAAACCCTGGCTTTATGAGATTCCAGCTATCTCCAGTCCAATTCTATCCATTCTAGCAAGCACGCATTAAACCCCTTTCCGTGTGCAAGACGCTGCCTAGGAGAATATCAATGCGCTTAACCTCCTCAGAACAAAATTAATCTTCATTTTCTTTCCTTTAGAATATATGCCATAGAATACAATTAAAACATTCTTTTAAAACCATTAAAAAAGAAGATATGCCATAAAACCCCTTTAAGAAGGAGGGCTGAAGAATGTCCCCAAGTCAGACAATCTAGTGCTGAAATTGCCCAAAGCTTGCCATTCAGCAAGGTTGAGGAAATAACAGTTCATCCTGAATCCTGAACTGAAGGGCTCAGTGAGAATATCTCAAGAGAAAAAAGACTGAAAGTAAAGCTAGCCTGTTCAAATCCAAATGTCACTGTTAATTAGCTGAAGAAAAAGAGTACCATTTTTCATTGGCGGTATGTCAAAATCTCTCATCATCAGAGGATGTCAGAGCTAGAAAAGACCTTTGAAATCAGCTCATCTAGTCCCAAAAATCCTTAACATTTCTTGTATCGTGGGCCCTTTTGGCTATTTAGTGAAGCCTATAGGCCCCTTCTCAGAATAATATTTTTAAATAATTGAAGGAAATGCTAAATTTCAGTTGGAGGTTAGTGAAAATAAGGATGTCATTTCCTCCCATCCAAGGTCATGGCATCCTCTGAAATCTCTCCACTTAACCCAGGTTAAGAACCCTTGATCTAGTCCAACCTCTTCATTTATAGATGGGGGTCCAGAACTTCAGAATGCAGAAATCTCTTCCTGAAGACTCAGGAGCCATAAGTAGCAGGGCTAGGGTTGAACCCATTATCTCCAACTCCAAATTCAGTGCTCTTTCCACTTGAGACCCCACTTTCTCCCATATGTTTTAGGGAACATTGTTCTCTAGCATTACAATATTCTTTTATACTGATTATTTGTCCCAGGTTACTTGTCAACACAGTCCAGATTCAGTATATAATTGACAACTTACCACTTTGTGCTGAATATATCTACTCTGGCCTCCCAGGAATGGAAGATCAGAACTGAATCAAGTTAGAGGAAGCCATCCTGGGGAAATTAATATGTTCCCTAAAAGCTGAATTTCAGGAACTAGGGAAGTATAATCAGTTGGATTTCATTTGCACAAGTGATCCTGAAGTTCAGAAATTCCTATTTAAGGAGCAAATTGAGCATCTGTCCAGTTACCAATTGCCTGGCAAAGTCCAACTTTGACAGGTTAGTTCAGCATCAAATACTCTCGAGAAAGGCTATTATGATCATTTCTAGTCCTGAAAATTGTAAGCCTGCTCCCTCACAGCTGTCTCCTCCTATACATTCCATTTGAACTTAAAGGTCAATCCCCTCTTCTTGGATTTACAAGGATTAATATCATAAGAGTTTTTTTTCTTCTCTTAGCATATTTGAAAATGAATATGAATAGAAACAGTCTGACTGCCCCAAAGAGCTTTCAGACTTTATGTTGTTGGCCCAGGCTAAACCAAGCTTGTGGGGTATTCAGGGAAGCTTGGGACTGCTCTGTCTCTGCTCCCCACCCCTAAGGATGTGTCACAAAATATTACCCATCCCAAGAAATGAGGAATTTGCTTGTTCTCCAGGGATAATATAGTCCGAATCTATGGCTAAAAGTTCTTCCAAGTTACCTATGTATCACCCCTGAATGTGGCTCAATTTCAAAACACTCTCTACCCACTCCAACCCTTGAAATTCATTTTTTGCAAAGTTATTAGCTTCCCTATAGGTTTTATTTTTTGCTTCTGCTTTTCTGAGGCAGGTGCTACAGTGGAAAACATTCTGTACTGGTAGTTAGAGGACCTGGATTCAAATCTTGACTATTTTTTATGTGACTTATCCCCTGATGGCCCCAGTTTTATCCTTAGTAAAATTGATAGGTTGGGTTCAACAGCCTCTAAGCCTCCTTCCAGCTCTAAATCTAAAAGCTGGTTTT